AACCCACAGAGGGTTGGAACAGCCATTGGGGGCATCCCTGGGGGTAAAGGAAACAAGGAGAGATCACCCTGGACACAGGATCTCCTGGTTCCTGGAACATCCTCCCACCAAGTGCTTTTCCCAGCACCACACACGCAGACGGGGTACGAATTCCAGTTTGGGTGTCTATAAAACCCATTGAGATGAGAGAAATAATTCAGGAGGAAATTATTATTTAATAATAACACTGAGCAAAGGCGTCATCTTGTTAAATCCTTGTGAAACAGCCAAGTGGGTGCAGAGCTCAGCTCTTCTGGTTCTCCGAGAGGCTGGGATCCGTCTGGAGCTGTCAGCACGGCTGGGGGAGGCGGGTGCAGACACGGAGATGATAATAATAGCTCACAATTAGGGTAGTAAATCAGGAGAGAGCGTCACTCAATTCAGAGAAATTCCCCTGATTTGCTGGAGACGGGAGTTTGGCTCTTTGCACGGAGCTGGTGCTGTTTGGATGACAAATCCCCCTGGTTCTGCAGAACCTTCACAAGGCGGCAGCAGGAGGAGCACGTTGGAAATTCAGCTCCACTTGAATTGTTCCTTGCCCAGCCTCAGTTTCTACATATTGCATAAGGATCAGCCTCAGGCACATAATTTTCTGCATTCAACCCACCCTGCCATGGCAGATCTGCCTCCAGAAAAGGCTAAAATGGTGCAGCTGACATTAAAAACCCTCAGCCAGGGTATCCTCCTGCCCAAGGAAACCCATAGTGCAAGGGCTGGTTGTGAAGGATTCCCAGTTTTCCTGTAGGGTTAGAGATTAATTTTCAATATTGGAATCTAGCTGGGACTTGGGAAAATAAAATTTTTGTTTCAAGGTGCAGAGGGGTGTCAGGAGGAGCAGCAGGCTCACAGCCCCCAGTGCTGCACCTGCTGTCTGTCTGTGCCACCCCCTGCTCCAGGCACCTCAGGGAGCTAAAATTCTGTGATTTATCCCTACCATGTCTCCACATCCCCCTGGATGACTGGGCACCACACTGAGCACCGATTTTCTCAGGTGTTCAGGTGTTCCAGGCCCTCCATCCCACCTCAAGGTGTCTCTGGAGAGATCGATGTTGACTCTGGTAACTCCATGCAAACCTGACTGCTGCATATGGAAATAGAAATATTTCCCATTGCCCCCTCCAGCACTTGTGCCTTGGGTGCCAGGAGCCTTGTGGGACTTGTTGCTTCCTTGGTGCTCCTTGTGGGGCCACAGGGGGATGGCAGAGTGGTCCAAACCTCGTGCCTGAAGGCAGGGATTGATCCATAGGTCTTTTATGTTGGTAGGAGCTTGGCCATCTCCTTCCTTTGGGATGGGAGAAGTCTCCTCATGAAGGGACCTCAGTAAATACAGAGTGATGCAAAATTATTGCTTTTCACATCCTCACCCCAGCCAAGGACAGCTCCTGCAAGTCCAGTCCTGCCCCATCTCCTTCCCCAGAGCTGCAGGGTGTTTCTTCAGCCCCCAGATCTCCCCGAGCAGATCCAGGCTGTTCCCAAGAGCATGGGATGGATTGGAGCCGCATGGCAAGGCAGCACCGTGTATCCAGGGATATGATTATTTCCCAGTGGTTGAAATCTAGGTCTCCTGCTTGGGAGGAGGGCTGCGGGGGGGAGGGTGTGGGGGGGGGAAGACGCTCATATTAATCTTATGAATATTCATGGAGAAGCTGAGCTGCCTTCGGAGGTTGACTCCGGGGTACGAGTTTGGGGGGCTGTAGGTGAGAGGTGCCGGCAGCGGCGGGAGCAGAGCAGCTGCTTGTGCATTCTCCGCATGCCTGACTGCAGAGCCGAGTGTAAGTTGGTGCCTTTTTCTCTCCCCCCCACCCCATCCCTGCATCCTTCCCCCTCTTCCCGCTGCTCCCCTGCCTAAACACAGCCTGGCCGGGAGCGGTGCAAAGCGAGGGAGTCGTGCTTCAGTCGCAAACACGACCCCAAATCTTGTGACTCCCGCCTGCAGTGCTCAGTGCGGGCGGAGAACAAACTGAGGGGCTTTGGGCAAATCTTCACCTCCTCCATCCCCCCCTTCAACCCCCAAATTTGCATGAATTAACCCTAAAGATGCTTGAAGTGGGGGGCGGATGTTGTTTGCCAGGACAAGCAGCGGTGGGAAGAGAGTAGGAGAAACTGAGTGTTGGGATGGGTGATGTCAACTGAGACGATGCCGTAAAACCTCTCCGCCAAGCACCGAGCATCAGCGCTTGGATTTGGAGTCGGAGGAAGAAGCCCAGAGCCCGTGCCAAATAAAAATCAACATGTTAAATAAAAACAAAGTAAATTTCTGTGCTGTTAAACAAATCTGGGGTGTTTGGGGAAGGGAGAAAGGGGAGGAGAGAGTTTATGGGCAGGAGGAAAACGGCGTGTTTATTTAAAAAAAAAAACAAAAAAAAACACCAAAAACATTGAAGGTTGGTTGATCTTTGGTGAGATGGAGGTTTTGTGGCTGCCAGATCTTTCCTGCAGCAGCAGGAAGATGTTGTTTGTGGTGTTCTGGCGTGATGCTCAGAGGAGCCAAGGAAGGTCAAATCCAGCTGAACTCCCTGGTGAGTCGCTGGGGAGCGAGTGGTGGGGAGAAAATGCAGAAAAAGGATAAAAACTGGGACAAACGCCACCTCCTCTCCTCTGGGCCTGGCAGAAAAGGGTTAAGAGAAGCGGTTGAATGCTGCAAGCCTCGTCAGGGTTGTACTATTTTTTCTAGTGCATAAGGAGAAGGGAGAGGAGGGTTGCACGGAAAAGGGAAATTTCCAAGAAAAGAGGGATCTGCGGCAATATCTGCACCTCGGGGGATGAAGAGAGGAACCAACAGGCATAAATGGCCTGGAGATGGCTGAAATCTTTGCCGAGGAGATTGGGACCGCGGGGATATTTTCCACCTGCCTCCCCTGCCCGGTTCTGTAATCCTGGCTCAAAGTAGACAAGTCGAGTTGGAGCTGAAGAAGGGAGGTTAGAGGGGTTTTTATTTCATTTGGGAGGGGGAAAAAAAAAAATAAGCAAAAAAATGAGAAGCTGGTTGTCCCTCTCCGGGCTGAGCATCTCCATGGTGCGAGGCAATGCAGGATGATCCAGGGCAGCGCTCTCCGGGAGCAGGGATGCTGAGGACCCGGCGCCCACCGGGGACATGAGCCTCAACATCCCCACCAGAAATTTCACCCAACGGAGTCCAATTCCCACGGGGGTGGGTCGGCCGGGGGGTTGTCTCTCGGGAGGATGGGGAGGGTGGATGCAGGTGGCGTGGGTCCCGCGGCCGGGGCCGCGGTGCTCGTGGGTGCTCGGAGCCATCAGCGGGGGGCTGGTGGCCTTGGCGGGGGGACAGCCGGGGAGCGGCGGGGGGCTCGCTCCGGTGGGTGAAGCCGGAGCCTCCTGAGTCACCGGGGAACGCGACGCAATGGCCGTGGGTGCTGTGCCCGGTGCGTGACACCGACTCCCGGCTGCTGGCGGGGCTGGGAACCTTCCGTGGCTTTGCAGAGCCTCGGCTGCCGGGGGGGCTGCGTCGTTGCCCCCCCGCTCCTCCGCCTGGCACGGGCTCGGCGGGCAGCCGGCCCCGCTGGGCTGAGCAGAGCGCAGGGACACGGGGCTCGCGTTTTTTCCGCCTCGGCGCTGCGCTCTCGCCCTCGCCTCTCTGGTGTTGCAGTGCGGGCTGGGCGGCTCGCGGCCGGGGAGCGCCCGGAGGAGCCGCGGCTTTGCGGGTGCTCCTTGCGAGCCCCCACAGCTTGCTACCTTCTCGGTGTTTTTTCCAGGCGATGCCACACCTCCCGAGGACACTGGGGACATCGGGTTTTGCTGAGCTTAGCAGCTTTTCACCGTCTTACCGAAGGCATCAGACAGACGCTCATCTGCCCTGAAGTGCAGATCTGCAACAGCTCCCGGGAAGACTCTGTCTCTCTGTCTCTCTGTCTCTCTTTCTCTCTCTCTCCAGTCCAAACCATTACAAGACCTGACTTCCACCATCTGGGAATCTAACCCCTCTTATGCCCCTTCTCCTTTTTCTACGATGACTCACCATTATTTTTAACTTTGAAGAGAGAGGAAATTATGGGGATCTTGGAAGCCTGTATTTCTCTCTAGGATTTCCCCAGGGTCAGATAATCGGTGTTACTAAGAGACACTAAGATTTGGCTTCTCCAGGTAATGTGATTTGTTTTCTGTGTGCCATGGTGGTTTGCAGAGAATGACAGGAGCCGGGACACCAGCGCTCGAGGAGGGGGACTGCGGTGGTCCGCGGGGCAGCTGGAGCCGCCGGCTCCACATTCCGGCAGCCGCAGAGCTCGGCTGCAGGCAGGGAGGGCAGCATGTCACCAGGGAAAGAGGATTGGGAAGGTGTTAAACTTAAAAGCGGAGCTGGAGCTTTCCTGGAGGGTAGATTGCCTGAGATCGCACGGTTAAATATTAATTAACCCTTAGCTGCATGCCTGGAAATGAGCTGAGCCCGGCACCCCGCGGGGTCCTCTCGCCACTTCAGGGCTGGATGGGGTTATTTTTCTTCCTTCCTTTCTCTTCCCTTCCCCCTCTTTATTTTTTTTAACTGGATTTTTTATTTTTAGCCAAAAAATAAGCCCTGGTTTACCAATGCCAGTTTTTCCACGCTGGTTTTGAACAGGTGATGGTTCCTCAGGTGTTTTCTCTGTTCCACCTAATGGGTTTAGATGGGAGTTGTTGAACTCTGTCCCAAGGAAGGCAAATTAACCCCTCCAGGAAGGGGATAGACGTGCTAGAGAAGGGATCTGCTCTCCTCCCACCAACTTTATTCCATCTCTCTCTTTCTCAGCAGGGGCGATTTTCTTTCTTCTCCTTTTTTTTTTTTTTTTTTTTTTTTTTTTTTTTTTTTTTTTTTTTCTCTATTTTTATCTCATCCCTTCGCCTTTTCATGAGACTCTTCCAAACCTACGTACCTGTCCTTCTGCAGGATAGTAGCCCTGCCCTGAACCCGATCCCACCACCGGGCGCTGGGAAGAGTTTAGCATAAGGATTTCTTTTAAAGCCCAATAATGACAGTTGCTACTGGAGATCCTGCAGATGAAGCTGCAGCTCTTCCCGGTCACCCGCAGGACACGTACAACCCTGAGACCGACCATGAGTGCTGTGAGAGGGTGGTCATTAACATCTCGGGGCTGCGCTTCGAGACGCAGCTCAAGACACTTGCCCAGTTTCCAGAGACCTTGCTAGGGGATCCTAAAAAGAGGATGAGATATTTCGACCCTCTCCGGAACGAGTATTTCTTTGACCGGAACAGACCCAGCTTCGATGCCATTTTGTACTATTACCAGTCCGGGGGCAGGTTGCGGCGGCCGGTTAACGTGCCCTTGGACATCTTCTCCGAAGAGATCCGCTTCTATGAACTGGGGGAAGAGGCCATGGAGATGTTCCGGGAGGATGAAGGCTACATCAAGGAAGAGGAGAGGCCGCTGCCTGAGAACGAGTTTCAGAGACAAGTGTGGTTGCTCTTTGAGTACCCCGAGAGCTCAGGCCCTGCCAGGATTATAGCTATTGTCTCTGTCATGGTGATTTTAATCTCCATCGTCAGCTTTTGCCTGGAAACGTTGCCCATTTTTCGGGATGAGAATGAAGACATGCACGGTAGCGGGCTGAGCCATCCCCCCTACTCCAACAGCAGCATGGGGTACCAGCAGTCCACTTCTTTCACAGACCCCTTCTTCATCGTGGAGACACTTTGCATCATCTGGTTCTCCTTCGAGTTCTTGGTGAGGTTTTTCGCCTGCCCCAGCAAGGCTGGTTTTTTTACCAACATCATGAACATTATAGACATTGTAGCCATCATTCCCTATTTCATCACCTTAGGGACAGAGCTGGCTGAGAAGCCAGAGGATGGTCAGCAGGGCCAGCAAGCCATGTCCTTGGCCATCCTCAGAGTCATCCGCTTGGTGCGGGTCTTCAGGATCTTCAAGCTCTCCCGGCACTCCAAAGGGTTGCAGATCCTGGGACAGACTCTCAAGGCCAGCATGCGGGAGCTGGGCCTCTTGATATTTTTCCTCTTCATCGGCGTCATCCTCTTCTCCAGCGCCGTCTACTTTGCCGAGGCCGACGAGAGCGAGTCCCAGTTCCCGAGCATCCCCGATGCCTTCTGGTGGGCTGTGGTTTCCATGACGACTGTTGGCTACGGAGACATGGTCCCCACCACCATCGGGGGGAAAATAGTGGGTTCCTTGTGTGCCATCGCTGGCGTATTAACGATTGCCTTACCAGTGCCCGTCATAGTGTCTAACTTCAATTACTTCTACCACCGGGAGACCGAGGGAGAGGAGCAGGCTCAATATTTGCAAGTAACCAGCTGCCCAAAGATCCCCTCTTCCCCTGACCTAAAGAAAAGCAGAAGTGCCTCTACTATTAGTAAGTCTGATTATATGGAGATCCAGGAAGGTGTAAACAATAGCAATGAGGATTTTAGGGAGGAGAACTTGAAGACAGCCAATTGCACCCTAGCTAACACAAACTATGTGAATATCACCAAAATGCTAACCGATGTCTAGTCGCTAAAATCTAGTCCCGTATTTAAAGCTGAAGTGGAACAATTGCAGATATTGAGTGCTGCTCTGCATTGTAGTTAATACAGTATTTTCTACGGTGTATATTTGGTTCTGCATGGGAAGCAATAGCTGTGTAAGTGACTTTTAACCTTTGATTTCTGCACCGAATAAGCGTCCGTGCAAAAAAAAACCAACAAACCCAAACCATTTTGTTGCACTTCTCCCATCCCAGGCTCGTGGGTTTCCAAAGATACGGAGGGGACGGGCACTTCCAGCAGCGGGATGGGGATGGAAGGGGCAGGTCCGGGCCATCCCGGCTGCCACAAATCCTGGTCCCTGTCCTGGGTGACAGCCAGCTCCCAGGCACAGGGAACAGCTGGGAAAGGTCAGGCAGGGCTTCCTGGAGGGCGGCTGCAGGCGTGGGGCCGGGCTGCTGGAGGGCTCGGCTCCTGCCCCGGGAAAGGCGAGCGCGAACGCGGCGCCCGGCTCGTGTTTCATAACTGAAAATGCTGCATGCTGCAATAGTTTCAGCCACTGCAGTGTGCCAGTGTGAGGCCCAGGGGAGGGATAATTAGTGTGACGGCACATTATTTATTAAGTCTTAAATTTTCTATGCGAGGCATCGGGAGGGACGAGTAAATAAATCAAGAGCTTGGAATTTATTTATTTATTTAGATGACACTTCCATCATCAATATTTCCAGGATCACCAAAGACACCTCCACTGACACATTGAAAATGAGTTGGAAAAAGCATCTTTTTTTATATCTATATATAAAACTGGAGCAACTATGCTGTGGCCTATAATATATTTATACTGCAGTGAAATTTAACCAGTAATACAGTACAGCTGCATGGATATTTGTTGCATGAATCTGAATATTTAATACACACACAAATATATATTTTCTTAGTAGACTATACAGTATTCATGTTTATAGTGTTTATAGATTCTCCGGTGGCTCGAAGGAGATTCATGGGAATTAAAAAATCTCCATTATAGTTAAAAACCGGATGGGGAAGGCGTGTGCTGACAACAGTTGGATAGATAACAGTGCAAAGCCTGAGAGATAACGAGGCAAAGCCTGAGTGTCCGAGCATCCAGACACGAGAGCTGACGAATGCAAGCCAGGGAAGGTGAGCTGAAAGTTAAACACCTGCGCTCATTATGGGGCGAGTAATTAGTCATTAATCGTGGTGTCAGGAGCAGAAACCACGGCGGATTGGAGAGGGCACGAGGAGCAGGTGGAATAGCAGGTTCCAGCCCTCCTGACTTGTTTGTTCAGCAGTTTTCAGCCATTCCCGTAGAATTCCTCTGTGTGTGTGTGTGTATAGATATTTAGAGAGCGACTACAGGCCGAATCCTCAGCAAACAGAGCTCCTGGGGTATCAAGGGTGTCCCAGCTCAGGGCTGCTGGATGGTGGGACGTGGGCTGGAGCAGGGTGGCCTGCCCCTGGAGCCCGTGGGGTCACCAGGGCAAGGTGCGTTTTGGGCTTAAAAGCTCCTTTTTAACGCCCTCAGGGCTGGGGTTTATTCCTTTATGATAGAGTGGGCAGGTGCTGAGGTGGCCTGGATCTGAGCTGGCACCTCTGAGCCTTTGCTTTGCCTTCTTTCAGGGTGTTAAGAGCAGTGGGTCAAGGTGCAGAGAGCCTGAGGTTCTCCCTCTTCTTCATCCTTGGTTATTTGGGGATGGGTGAGAGCTGTTGGTCCATGGGGAATCTCACCTGTTTTTCCCCATCCCTGTGTGGGTTTGCTTGTGTTTTCCCCATTGCTGACAATCCTCAGGGAGAGGTGCCTTGTTCCTCTTCCAGGTCAGGGGAGATGGAGGGAAATCTCTGCCAAGGTCACGGATGAGCAAAGCCTCCCTGGGCTGCGGAACGGGGTTCAGTCAGGGTGAATTTGGGCAGAACTGGGGCATGATCAGCCCTGAAACATTGCATGAAGGGTGAGCACAAGGAGCTTGGGGAGGGCTCAGCCAGACCCTTCCTTCCTCAGAGAGGAAACCCCTGCTCCTGACAATAATCCAACTGGTGCTAAAGTATCTACAGCAGTGGCTCCAAATGCCACTCCAGAGCAGGATCCATCTTGTGCTGATGGGGCTCCACTTGGCCAGGTGGAATCACTCCTCAGTTTTATTTGATTGATTGATTGATTGATTGATTGAGGTCTGGCTACAATTAATTCCAAGTGTCCATGGTTTGTGCATGGCAGTCCCTGCTCCTGCGTGTAGCAGCATCACTGTGCTGGGGTTCAGGGATGCTCAGGTCCCCAGCCTGTCCTTAACTGGGTCTCGTTCTGCTGGGAGTCCTGCACTCCACTTTGCTGGGGCAGCCTGGGAATGGGAGACCCTGGAGCCCCTTCATGCACGCACACAAAAAAGCCAACACAACAAAAAGCAATAAATCCTGAGTTCTGAAGCTCATCCTGTTGGATGGGACAGGGCTGGTGAGAGTCTCCAGCTCAGGCACCATTCCCAGGCCAGTCAGCCAACTTCCATGGACCTGGTTCCTGGTGGCTCTGTGGGGACATGGGCTGACACAGGGGAGCTGCCTGATGTGCTGGGATCCTCTGGGTGCCCTCAGCACCAGGGGATCCCATTCCTGGTCAGGGTTGAGGTGCTTTGCTGGTGGTTTTGCTGCAGGTTCTTTGGCGGATGCTGGCACTTGGTGAGGCTTTGAGAAGTGTCCGGTTGTTGAACACCCACCGTGGGCTTGGGGTGGTTTGGAGCAGCGTTGGCCAAAGCTTTGGGTGTGTGTTGCGGTGTTTTGGTGAGGAGGAAGGTGAGGTTTTCCTTTGGGGAGGTGGGGTTTTGGGCACGGTGCTCCTGGGGGCTTTCCAGGGCCAGGCAGGAGAGGAGAGCAGATCTGTGAGCAGGACCCAAACATCCAAACCCAATCTCCAGCCTGGGGTGTCCTGGCTGCCTTGGGAAGCTCCACAGCCACCCAGCAGGGGCAAATGGGGATAAAGAGCAAGAGGCCACAGTGCTGTTGTCACCGACATGAGGTGATGACTGTCCCCATGGCAGGGCCAGCACGGCCAGTCCCTTCCTTGGGACAGATCCAGCACCTCCTGCCCTGACCCTGGCAGATGTTCCTGGGGAAAACGAGCCCTGGTGGGAGAGCCCTGGGCTGCCCTTGTGTGGGGCACAAGGAAAAGGCCCAGGCTCAGTGCTCAGCTGTTTGGCTCAGGGTGGGTGAAGGCCATGGCTCAGAGGGATCCGTGGCTGCACAGAGCAGAGGGGTCCAGACTTCTGCCTCGCACAGAAATGGTTCCCCTACAGCTTTTAATGGGATTTGTGCCTGCAGGTCGGAGCTCTAGTGCTATTTCTAGCTTTGCTTCTGACTCACTGATGTGATCTTGAACCAGTTTTTCGGGAGGAGACTGTGATATTTTTTCTTCTTTTTTTTTATATATTTTTTTCTTAAGGAATGTGGTTTGAGAGAGTCTGGGCCTGTTTCTGTGGAGATGCTGAGCATCCCCATCTCCTCCTGACTTTGAAAGGTGCAAAAATGAGCTGCAAAGTGGCTCAGACTGAGGATGCTAAATTAGGGATTGGGAAAGGGGATGGTCCCATAGATGTGTTGGAGTTCATCAGGCCCCTAAAGAGAGGTAGTCTGGATCCTTTCCTCCTCCTGAGGAGCCATTTCCCTCTCTCCAGGCCTGGAATGGAAGACTGGAACTCTCTGGTCTGTGGAGGTGCTCCTGCCTTGGCACCCGGAGGAGGCAGCGCCTCTATTTTAGTTTGAGCCACTGTGCCACGGTTCTGGAGAGATGGAAAGCTGTGATTGCAGAGCGGGCTGTCTTCTAACACCCAACCTCGTGCCCAAGCCTGCAGGCAGCCCATCAGCCCTTCCAAATCTTCCAGAATATCTGCTGGGGGCAATGGGGTGAGGCTCATGTACCAGCTGGATGCTACCAAGTGATTAGGAAAAAATGATCTCTCTGGAGCACGATGTTTTATTGGGAAAATTAATCCCTGCAGTGACTGTGTCAAAGTCCTACAGATCTGAATGCTGAGCTATAAGAAGAAAAGGATCTCTGGATTGGCGTTATGAGAGTGTGGCACGTGGGTGTATAAATATGGGCATATTTGTGCATAAATACACAGAAGGAGAGAAAAAGACAGAGGAGGAGGAGGTATTTCAGGAAGGACCTTGCTTTGTTATTAGATAATTCCTGGGTCAGCCCTTGAAACTGCTGCCAAAGCCTTGTAGCTTTTCCAGAGCTTGCAATATACTTGGGGATGGATCCAAGGGAAGGAGATCTGGATCTTGCCTTGGGAGTGGAAGGATCCTGAGGGTCTGGGGGCAGCCAGCTCCTCACACCCCTCTGCAAACAGCAGCTTTGCAGTGTCTCTGTTGCCAGCCCCAAGTCCCGGCTTGTGCCAGTCACAACCATCTCTGTGGCTGTGCCAGCAAAGCCAAGCAGGGTTGAAGGGATTTGGTTGAGATGCAGGTGCTGTGCTGCACTGAGTGGCCTTTGGGGTTATTGTTTGTAATTGTTGGGGTTTAAGTCTCCTAAACTATTGTGACTTTTGGTCCCAGTGTGGTGGCTCCTACTCTGGAGCCAGGGTGGTGTTATCACAGAATCCTGGAATGGTTTGGGTTGGAGGGACCTCAAAGCTCACCTTGTTCCACTCCCTGCCATGGACAGGGACACCTTCCACTAGACCAGGCTGCTCCAAGCCCTGTCCAGCCTGGCCTTGAAACCTTTTCTCAAGACCTTTCCCATGAGACCTTATCCCGAGGTCTACATCCTTGGGGGTGGTTATCCACGGGAGTTATCCCTGGTGGGTCACTCATGGGAGCTGCTCAGTCTGCTGCAGGGGTGAAGTGGGCTGAGGAAAGGAGTCAGCCCCAAACCCTTTTGGTTTGCACCCAAATGAAGGCTGTGGCTCTTTCCTCAGCCCCCTGGCAGCATTTGACCCTCTCCACGTGACACATCCCTTGGTCCCTCCTGTTGAGGACCAGCTGCTGCCCCTGCCAGGAGCCCCAAGGTGGGAC